TATAGCTGTTGTTTGTCGTTGAGTGGTAATGACTTACCGAACGACATTATAGTTATTCGTTAGACATATTTCTACACATTCTTTATTTGTTTATTCAAGGAAAAAGAAAATTTAACTTCATTTTTTAAATATTCATAAAAATCAAAGAAAAAAATATTTTTTATTATTAGTAAAATATTAAATCGTTTTGTTTTATATTTACAACGATATTCCGATGATGGAAATTTTATTTTTTAAAATATTGAACATATTTTTGTAATGATTTACATCTGATGTAATGAGTCTGATGGAATTTATCGTTGTATACAATAGATTCTGTTACGTGTTTTTTTTTTGTGTATCTTATCTTAATTCAGATAGTTATGAATAATTAGTAAAAAGAATTTTAAAAAAACGAATGGTTCATTTTTCTCAATCACTTATGCCTGATGTGCCATTAGCAATGTCATTACCAACAACGTTTACATTTCATCCGAATAATCAACTGGATGATCAATCAAACTTACAACAACAATCACTTCCAACATCATCTCAGTCTCAATTAAATTCATCATCATCAAATCAACAACAACGATCAGCACCAAATGATGATCGAACCTCAAATATAAATCATCAAGCACATACAAATGATTATGAAACTCGTTTACGGTAAAAATGAATTACGAAAAAAAAAGAAACCAACAACAATCCAATAAATAATAATTTCGTTTTCTTTGTGTTTTAGATGTCCTAATTGTGAAACATGGGTCGTTAATCTAAGTGATCATTTACGTAAAACTCATCGAATAGCATCACCAGTTGATCGAAAACCATTATTACGTATGGCACGTCTTGAAAAACGTCGTATGACTGAATCAGCAAATAATTCATCATCATCATCAACAACTACAACTATGTTAAAAGTACAATCAACATCAACACTTGTTGATAATGGTTTGCCAACATCACATACAAATACAAATGAAATAGAAAATTTACTTTTTAAACATGAACATGATACAAATACATTATCAAATCAACAATTTTCTGTTACAATACCAGAAAATATTTTAATTAATCAACAAATGACAAATTCTATTGTACAATATTCATCAACAAATAAACGTCAACGAACTTTAGATGATCATTTAGAACATACATCTAATGGACCTTTATCACCAAATAAAAAAACTCGAATAGGAATTCTTGATCCAACTAAACTATTACAAACAACACATTCATCATCTAATAAATCAAATAAAAAAAATCGAAATAAACCACAAACACAACCATCCCTACAACAACAACCACAAACTATTATAAAAACAGCAGCATCGGGTATTTTTCCTCAGCAACAACTTCCACAAACTGTTACTATACAAAATATCGATGAAAGCTCAGATGATGTAAGTGTATAAAATTTTCCTTATAATTTTCTCTTTGGAAACAAAATCGGATCTTCCGATGTAATAGCATTGCTTTTAGAAAAAGACAAAGTAATTTAATCCTACATAAGGCTATATATGATATGCTTCAATAACGTTTATAGTCTTTATGCCAATTCCTAAAAGTGAAAAATCATGAAAACTAAATGAAGTCTTGAGGATTAACTTAGCAAAACAAAAAAAAATATTCCTTATTTCTTTTTTTTAAAATTAAATCCATGATAATATTAAATAATAAAATATATTTATTGATGTTTAGCTTTCAAAAGTATTACAAATGATGGGCAATGAAATGAATTTTCTTAATCAACATTTACAAACAACATCTATTTTATTACAAAAACAACTTGATTTAGCACGTGATAGTTTACATGCATGTTCTGTTCAGTTTGCTCGTAATGATTTTGATTTTTTATCATAGAATTACAATTTATTATTTTGATTTTCTTTTATCTAGATTTAAAGAGAATGATTCAACAACAAATATGATTCATAATAAATTCATTTCTTTTTTATTTAGAAAAAAAGAGTCATTGTTTGCACATTATATGTATCATTAAATTTTGTTTCTTTATTTTGTTTATGATATTAAAAAAAACCTAAAAGAAAAAAATGTCTTTGTAACTATCTGTTCATCCGTTTAGTTTTTTTTTTTTTTTTTTTTTATATACATATACATATAAGTTTAAGTGTAATTAAATTACAGATTATGAAAAAAAAACAACAAGAAAATATTAACAGATTAGTTTTTCTTTTTCTTTTCTTTTTTTTCGTTCGATTTTTCTTTGTTCAACTTTTGTTTGTTTTTTTTCCGGTATTGTTCGTTTACGATAGACAAACTACGGCCGTCTTTGTTATTTTTACTTAGTTCTTTATTCTTCGTTTTTTTTTGTTTAACTGTGTGTATTACAGCCGTTGTTTATTGATATATACATATATATATATATACGTCTAAACATAAATAAATTTGTTTAGCTTGGAAAGAAATGAATCATGAAAAGAAGAAATGTAAGAAAATCCAGATGCTCATTTTTTTTAGAGAATAGTTAAAATAGAAACTGATTTGTCGCCTTTGCCAGCATAGCAATCTTCTTTGGTTCCTATGGGTACTAGTTTTCCATTAAAAATAATATGATGTGGCTGATGTTTTTTGTCATTGTCGAAGAAACAAAACTCTATTATTTAGATATTGAAATATTTCAATGTCAGATTGGACTTTATCGATTCTTTTATGATTAAGAAATAATAAGTAAATAAAAGAAACATACAAGTCAAACAGATATGTTATCGTCTATAAACTGTGACGAAAAATACAGTAAATATGGTTGACACACACACTAAGAGATAGATGTAATTAGAAAGCTGAAAACGAAGTACAAATATGAGTTGAAATACTCAAGCTTTATGTGTTAACCGTTTTCATAATCTAGAATACAAAGATTTATCAAGTTTCGAATTAGAAACCAACTGGTCGATTCACTCTATAGTTTTCAATGTTGTTATGATTACTGAGTTTTTTCGTAAGGTGAAAATTTGACGTGCTTTGCATGAATATGTAAGTAACTAATGTCACGACCTCTTCTGTTCATCCTATGAGTTCTCAAAAAAACAAGGAAAGAAATTTAACAAAATTAATCAAGAATTATTTAAATTAGATCTGTACTCGGTATTGTTATGTATGTACAATAAATAATAATTACAACATTTTTTGTGATGAATTAATAATACATTTCAATACAAATGATTAAAGTTTAACAGAACTTGTAATTAATTAAATTAAATCATTATCATACGTACATATATGAAATTGTTTCATCTGATTTATTATCTAATGTACTTTACATTATCTTTTATTGAATCCATATGATACCCTTTATTCATAGAGATATGTAATACATAGAAAGCTAGTAACACCTACTCAATATAATAACACAGTTATGATAGATGATCAAAATGGATCTTCATAGGATTTCTATCTTCTAAATTCTATTCATCTTGTTCGATTATCGTAAATGAAAAATTGTTTAATAGACTGTGTAATGTTGAAAAGTCTGTAAGGTCTTCTAAAAAAAGAGTCAATTTTCATCAGCAATGTCGAAATTAAGATAGATGCATGAGAGAATAACTTGATGTCTGATCTTTCATAAATGACATGATTTTTTCACTCAGCACCTCCTTTTATGTGAAAAACAAGTGATGATTTCTATCATCACTTGCTTGAAAAATATCTTTGCGTTGTTTTTCTCAGTTTATGCTCTTTTGCCCATGCATGCCAGACTTCTCGAAGGATCTTCATTGTAGTCAATTGCTTTCTTTTTCTGTTTGAAAGAACATGTCAAGATACAGGGCATGACACAGTAACTTTTTGGAATTAACCTTCCTTACTATTATGTCGAAGAGTACTTTTACATTTAGAGCGCCATTTTTTGAGAGCCGTGTGAGACATTAAACTTTTTGTCTCTTAAAAAGTAAGAATTAAATAAAAGGCTTTGTCATGCTCTGCATCTAGACGTGCTCTTTTAAAGAAAAAACGAACATTAGTATATCAAATGAAGATCTGCAGCGATTTTTGAGTTGCTAAATGACTGATTTTTTTTTACCCTTATTTACTGAATATCTTGCAGAAACGTCATGATATAACACTGAACCTTTTACCGTAGCCTCTCCATTACAATCCCAATATATCTTGAAAATTTCATGCGATTTGATTATATCTGGTATAAGAACTGATTTTTTGAGTGACAGAGGCCTTAAGACACGACAGAAATCTCTGCACATTTTTATTTCATTTATGATATATTATGCCATGTGACAAAGAATGAAGGTAATCTAAATAACAAGTATAAACTCACACTTAATCAAATACAATCTCAATTTTGAAGTTATACTATTGAAAACGAGTATAAACCGTCATCAAGACTGAACAAATACTACGTACTTCTATTCCTACTAAGATAAAAATTATTTTAATACTTAATGAAATATACCATCTTATTAAAATAATTTTCATATTAAAACAAATTGAAATGACCTAGTAACTATTGTATTGTCTTATAACAAGATTTTAAAAAAATCAAAATCATTTTAACTTCTACTTAGAATCTATTCTCTTTCAATGCTATTGTGAATAAAGTTAATACAGTTTATATCATACAGTCTTAAATATGTATTCGTTCTAGTAAAGATTTGATACAATTAAATGTTTATTAACATACATGTACCATAATTCGTCAAATCAAATATATGTATTCAATACTTATGTTTGTTTTTAATTTTTATGTTCGTTTATTTTTCTTAGAAAGATTCTTATTAGATCCGAAAAATAACATATTTTATTGATAATATATATTCATTATTGCATATTGATCATTATTATCATGAAGAAAATTTCATTGCATATAGTATTGAGAAAGTTTTATTTTATTACACTCAAAAATCAATCGATTATTTTTAAAATTTATTAAAATAGAAAAAAATCTAGTCATTTCGTCGCTGAGATGATAATAAGAAAAAAAAATATCTATACATTCACAGAAAAAAAAAATGTCAATTGTGAAATCAAAACAGTTCTGGTTATTATGATGTTGTTTTTGTTTCTGTTGTTGGCACTGCAGCATATTTTGTTTTAACATAACGAAATAAAACAAATGTAGCAAGAATAGCAAAAAGAATTGATATTAATTCAACGATTAATTGCGTAACATCTTCAATAATAGCATAACTGTCCGTTGTGGTTGTAGTCTTGCTCACTGATCCTGCTTGACCTGCATCTGATGCTACATCGCCATCTATTACAACATTTGAAACAGCTGTTGCAGTAACTACACGAGTAGGTGCCGTCTTAATAATACGAATAATACCAAAGATAAGTGTTAGAATAAATACACATATGAGCACAGCACCAGATACTAGCATTATCGTCGTATTATCAAACCTAAATTTAGAACAATTAAATTAAATAAAAAAAAAAAAGAAAGTTTTATAGAGAAAAAAAAATCGATTGTATACCATGTAGCATAAATTGCTAAAGCAATTGAAATAAGAATAATGGTGCCGAGAACAATCATTGTTATAGCATATGGATTTGTTGGTCGTCGAATTGTTTGAACAATTCCATGAATAATATAACGAAATATTATACTTGATAGAAGAAATCCATAGAAAACAGTTAATAAAATTCTTATACCACGAATTTGCTGTTTTTTGGTGAAAGCCATTGTTTATCTGTAAAATAAATGATTATTAGTATATTCGTGAGTTTACCTACAAATACGACTGAAGAATAATGATGCATAGTCGAGTCAACATACGTAAAACTCTCTCTTATTTCGTCGTTTTTTTTATTTTGCATCCATGCATCAATCTCCGTTACTTCTACACATACTCTTTCTTTCTCTTCCTCTGTTTTGATGCATGCAATAAAACGATCGAAAATTCTCTTCTTTACCATTTGTAACATACCACCAAATGTTCTTTTTCTTCTCTTTCCATCTTATGTTTGCTTACCTTCTCTCTATGTATAAATTGTGACGGATGAAATCAAGAATAGTTATTAATTCTTTTCTAAAACGACGTATATTCATTGATTATCGTTTATGTTTTAGAGAGAAGCAACGAATATATATATAAATATATAGACTTTTTTTTATATTCTTACGCTGTTCGTGACAGATACCTATAGCATACAAGATTTTCTTTTATTATCAATAGATGCTAAGAAAAATGCGAAATGATGAATAGCAATACGAAATAAAAATGCCAAAAGCTATTCTTTATGTGTAATTCATCATTGATGATTATTATAGAACGATCTAAAATAAATCACAAAAAAGAATCCATATGCGTTGGAATCATCAGCATAAAAATAAAATGCATTTCGAGAACATTCGAAAGTTAAAAAGAAAACAACTTATACAATTCTTTAATCTTATTTCTTTTGTTCTTTAAATCAAATGTTAAAATTTATTTTATATAATTTCACCTGTGCTGAAAATTTTATATTAAATCAAAATATTTTCTTTCATTTATTTGTTTTTATGGAATTTTATTTGTTTAAGATTTTATATAAACTCATTCGAAACAGTGCAAATCTGACTGCCAGTTACAATTATAATCTTTTGCTTTTTTTTTGAAAAAGAAAAAGACCATTCATACTTTTTATTTAATTAGCAATGTAGGAATAATTTGTATCATATTATATAGCTTTCTCTTGTGCATTTTAATTTGAATAAATAATATTTGTTTGCATGATTTGTAAAAATAATTTGATACATAGACCAGTGTCTTATTCAGATTTTCTCTCCCGAAGGACGATTAAAAAACTGCATGAGTGCGAACTTCGGTTTTTGAGAGGACAGGTAAATATTGCATGATACGAAAATTACAAACTTCGAGAAGGCCATCTCAATCTTTGAAGAAATGGTCTTCACGCTGGAAACTGTTATAACTGGAGTGGTTGCGTTGTTTGACATGTTTCCACAAGATATTGTGTTCAAATCTCAGTACTGCCAGCCACGCAATGACTCTGGACAAGCCACTAACGGCGATTTGCCTTGGATCATCCGTTCGATAGTATGCTGACTATGTTGTGACACACACTTGTTCTCGTGATTAGTTAATGTGACTGGGGAGTTTAAGCAATTGAGCACATAAACTCTGCATCAGGTTGGTCTGTTGCCCAGAGCTACAGCTAGTGTTAGTTGTAGAGAAGATATAAGACCATTGAATGTGTTGTTAAGCAGCACTCTATACCACAAGGTAGCCAAAAAGATAGGAATATTCTTCCTTTTTCTACTTCCTTCATAGTCAAGCGATAAATCTTTTTCTGAATCAGAGTTGTCGATATATTGTTAGGAGTAGGAGGGGCTTAAAATTCGGCAGAAAGTACTTTCATCCTCAGAGTGCTAGAAGTGGTGATCAGGACGAGAGAAGAATGAAACTCGCCATGACTCGGCTCCTCCAACAACAGACGATCTGCCACCAGATCCTTCCTCCTCCAATCATATTCATCTTGCAACGACATTGTCTGCTTATTTTTATTTCATTTTCTACCAGAGAAAGGTAAGTAGTGTTTCAAAATCCAGTTTTCTATCCAAAATTTTTACGAAACTGTAGAAAATTGCCAAAAAGTCGGACATTTCAGGAGGGAGAGAATCTCTCTTTAATCGAGAATCTTGTTCTAGATACAAATTGAAAATGAAAAATTTTGGCTAATAATCCAATGTCTCATCGAGGACTTTGTGCATAAATAATCTATTGTATTGAATTGATCTTAATCATGTTTGTCATATCGATTGATGCACGATTCTATACAAACGCAATTATGATATTATGAAAGTTTGAGTAGTTAGTAAAAAACCGCAAACTCACAGGTAGTTATTTGTTCTATAACATAGCGACGAAGAATTTTTTGAAAAATTTTATTGTGAAGAAAAAACCGCAACAGCAGCTTTTTTTGTTGTTTCCTAAAATACACTCTTATAAGAAAGAAAAATATTATTCGAGTCCTCATATCTTTTAGACTTTGTTTAGTGATAAATATGGAGTTTTATTTATCCTGAGTTGCAGATTTGAAGACTCAAAAAAAGAATCAATAATTGATTAACTTCCCGTTTAGTAAAAACACTATTTTTTTTCTTATTATTTTAGCTCGAAATACCATCCAGTGTCATTTTTGATCCTTCATCTTTGAAATGTTAAAAGTTGTCGAATAGAATAAAGATAAATGTTTTCAAATATTATCATATAATCAATATCACTTGACTCAAGTCTAATAATTTGTAATGCTGTTGAAACAGGTTGCGATGAAATTATAAGATTAAAAATGTAGAATTAAAGTTTCAGATTTTAATTGAATTTGTTTCTTAGGAATTTACTATGTTTGAAACACGTTCTGAATAAGTTCGAATTATTAGTGAAAGTAAGATGAAAAAAAGAAATGAATATTTCTTATTCTTTAATATATATGAATTAGTTCTTAAATAAGATGGTTTTAGTGAACATCCATTATATTGTTGTTTAGTTGCTCAAGATGATTAAATAGAATATTTTTCAATCAATATTATTAAATAATTTTTAACAATATTTAACTTGTCCATCATTGCGTATTGTTGAAATATGTTTAATATTTATTCAACATGAAAAGGAATATGTTTGCCCCTTCAAGATCTTTATGTACAATCAGATTTTCGAAAAACGAGAAATTGAAAAAGCATTTTGTTTGCTACAACATATCAAATATAATTAGAACATTTAATTTTAATTTTTTTTTATTTATTTATATTTTTGTGTTATAGATTGCTGTTGATACCAACTGTGCTCGACTTAATTTTAATGTACTTGATTGGAATACAGATGCTTTAGATTTTTATAAATCACGTGGTGCTATTGATTTAACAGGAGTCGAAGGTTGGCCGTATGTTACGAGTAACACGTCAAAATATGGAATTAGAATTAAGCAAATAAAAAAAAAAATAATTAATTATGTAGATGAATGTTTTATTTAGAAAAAAAGAAAGAAAAGAAACCAGAAGAATTATAAAAATTGATTAGATTTTTTTTTTTCATTAAAGAAATGATGAATTTAATGTAGTTTTCTTTTGATGTAACTGTGATTGAGGAATAGGTCGAAAAAAGCCTTGAGTCATTTTACAACGTAATGGTGGTGGTAATCGTTGAGTATCACATATTCGAAGATCATTTGTTGAAACATACATCTTATCAGGACAAAGTCCTTCTAATACAGGACGATTTTCTTCATCAACACGTTGCATATGTTTTTGATAATCATAAGAAATATGATCGAATTGATTGAGACTTCTATTATTCAACAAACATATAATGAAAAGATATTCATGAAGACACGAAAAAAAAAATTTCTTTACCCTGCTATTTCATTGTTTGATAATTCATAAGGAGTTATCCGAATCTCTGGATGGGATCGTTGCATAGGAAATGAATGATGTAATATTGAACCTTGTAAACTAGGATTCAACGATGATGAACTTATAAGTGGTACTATAATTATAAAAATAAAAAAAAACGAAAAAAGAAAAACTATCATATTTTGAATATTTTCAAGAATAAGAATTACCCACCAATTGTTTCATTGTTTTGTTTTGATAAACTTTTACTGCCAATCTTTAATGTTTCTTCCAATTGTCTTTTCTTATGTTGACATTTATGAATTATAGATATGTCATTGGTATTACAATGACGTTTGTTTGTTCTATGTCTATGATTACCTTTCGATTCTGCTGTACCCATAATAATGTCTTTACTAATATGAATGGATTCTTTGACAATACTTGAATATTCTCTACGATTCTCTTCCCATTCTCATGCATACAGTTAGTGTACATGTTGGAATGTCTAACTGATATCTTGATAAAGTAGACAAAAAAAGATATTTTTTTTTATCTGTTAATGATTGATAAAATTTCTTTGTTTTTGCTTAAAATTAAAAACGTTGATAGAGGCATAAAAAGACGCACATAACAAAAAAAAAAAGAAAGAAAACAACAGTAGATTGAGAGTAGGCACCACTAGAAACAAAAATATATCACCGTATGTGCGTAAAAACTAAACTGACTAAGAGGAATAAATATACAAAATAATAATAAACACAAGAAATATATATATATATATATATATAACTAAATCAGATCAATACATGAGCTATGTATAGAGATTTGTAAATGTTACCAATCGATCGATCTATTTACAAAAAAAAAATATGATGAAATTATTTTTAAATATTTTATTAGACAGAAAAATACAAACTTTGGAGATCCCACGATGAACAAGTGAATTAATAAAATATAAATCTTCTTTTGTATCTTGTAAATCACGTGCATACGATCTCCATTCATCTTCACTTGGCACAGGCCGTTGTCGATCATTTATATTAGTTTGATGTTCATCAACAGATGGTAAATCGGCATTGAGAGATGATTCAATTACCTAACAATATTTTTCAAAAATAAAAAGAGTCATCTCTTATCTTGTTACAAATGATAAATTTTTCTTTTTATTCTTTATCAAATAAATAGACAAAGAATATTAATAAAAAAAAAATTTTTTAAAAACTTTAAATTAATGTTACTATGATAAATAGAATGTAACTAACATACTTCTTTAACTAATGGCCGATCAATAAATCGTTGAGCATCAGCAACTGATAATCGACGTGCTTGTAAATTTTCAATTGTTTGTTCAAGTTCATTAATAACCCATTCGAAACGATTAAGAATTTCTTTTCGTACATTAATTAAATCTCGATATTCATATTGTTGTAATTCAGGCATTGTATTATAATGTTGTTCATAATGTGTATTTGATTGAGTATATTGTTTAAATAAATGTTGACGAAAACGAATAACAGCCGTTACATATGCTTGTAATGTTTCTAATAATTTCTAAAACAAAAATATTTTAATTAATTAATTAATTAATTAATTAAAAGAATTTTTGTTTTTACTGAACGAGCATGTCGAATACGAGGATCGGTTTGAACACCTTTCTCATCAGAATGAAAAGTCGTCTGAAAGATTTAACGAAATAAAGAAAAATCTTTTTATTCAAACGAATGTTTTTCTTACCATTTCGTAAATGTTATTACTTGTATCTAAAGTTGTTGTTGTCGTTGTCGCATCGCGATTATCTACAAGAGATAAATGACTAGTCATTTTTTTTCTTTATTTCTTATCTTCATTTCTTTTTTTTTTCTCTTTTCGATTTTAAGTGAAAAATGTTGATCAATGACATCGTAATACGTAATACGATTTTCTCTTGATGTGTGCGTGTCATAATGCTCACTTTTTTCTTTGTTTTGCACATAGATTTTTTTTTACTACCTGAAAGCTCATGTATATGTCATGGGCAATAAAGCATCGACTAATGCACAACTCATATATGTAAGTGCTTACTGGCAAAGTAAAAAAAAAAACAGAGCATGAAATAACAACAAGATTATTGTTGTTCTTTATGATAAAAATATTTGTATCATGACATGATACATGTTTAAATATAATTATCTAAAAGGTAAACAGGACAGATATAAACAATGAGGAAATCATATTAAACACAAAACAAGAAACGAATTTTTTTTTACTCTTTTGCTGTACAAATGATATCAATTTTGATCGGACTTAATGATAGATATGTGTATGTAAATAAAACGAAGCCTTTTATCGATAAATTGATGACGAACATATCATGTGTGTCAGAATTTACATATATGTATATCTTTTTCATTACTCTATGGTTGTCAAACAAATGATTGTGTAATTGTATAAGATGAACTTATAATCAATGAATCAAACTTTTCAATCTATTGATCAAAATCGATCGCATACATACATTACTAATAGAACGATGTCTTACTTTATGTGATGGTGCAATTAGACTCGACGTGTTTTGACACCTTTGTCTTTCTTATTCTTTTTTTCTTACTTTCTATAGATGAAGTGCTTTAGTTAAAACATAAAAAGAAAAAGAAAAAGAAATGAAAGGAAGGCATTAGTATTGAGGTTTTTTTTTCCTATTTTTTATAGAGCTTTATTTATTATCAGAACCGAATTGAAGGAAACTTAAAGTTGCCATATTGATAGATATATTCACGTTGACAATGTGATGCAGCTCTTACTGTTATCGATATATATCAAATATTAGTACAAGTCAAGGCTATTGTCGTCGATTAAATGACAGAACGTATGAATGAATGAATGAATGAGAACAGATGCAAGAAAAAAAATGAATATATATTAAAAAATATAAAAAAAAACACGAGAAGTCAATGTATTAAAATAAAAATTAACCAATAGACAAGGATCTTGTTGAGTTATACTCCGATCCACACTTTGATGTTGATTATGCTAAAAAAAAAGACGACGCATAGAAATTAATGAAATGATTGTATTGTACGGGTGTTTTTTTTTCTCTAGCATCATTAGCCCACCATTTAAATCAAGCAATAACAATAACCAACACCCCTATTGAGCTTAAAATATATATGTATATGGTCAACAGAAAGCTTATATTACTTAAGCAATGTACATAGTCATATCCTTGTTAGTATGAGATTATAAACTCAAGCATAATAAATGTCAAGCTTTTATGATAATACTTACTTAAGGTGGTCGCATCGAAGGATTGTGATTTAGATGAAAAATCCAATTTATGTTTATTATTAAATGATGGGGAATGTTCTACATCATATTCATCTGTATGACTATCTTGACATGATACAGCATGTAATGCAAGTAATTGTTGACGACGATTAATTGTTGCTGTTCTTATAGGACTTGATGACAAATTTCGATGTATGTTTTTTGGTTGACGCATTCGATTATTGCTACTAATTTCAATTGACAATCTGTTATCAACAGCTGTCTTAATACGTTGTAAAAGTTTATCAATGTCGTTGGTGACAATTGATGGTGACGATTGATTACCTATAATAGCACTACTTATTCCTCCTGTTGTACCACCAGTTGAAAGAGAAATAGCGCTATCGCTTAAATTTGAATTGGTCTCGTGTTCATGAGAAATATTAGATGTTATCAATGTTGTAGATGTTGATTGACGCGATAACAAGTGGCTTGTTAAAAGAGATGAAATACGATTAATAAGGGCGTCGTCTTCATTAATGGTCGATGATGATGATGATAAAAGAGGAGATGGAGCAAAAGGATGTTGTACGATTAAATTTGTTGGTGTTTCTAATTCAGTTTCTACGTAATTTAATTGTGCTGATGTAGATAATGATTTGGACGTTAGTTGGTCTGAATTAAAATTGTCACCAGTTGTTGATTCAGGCAAACTATTGACCTATTGTATAGAACGGAAGAACAAAACTATAACCTGTTTGGATAGGCTTTTTCTTTCAAATGACGTAATTATGTTAAAACGGAACAGGATATATGAGCAAAAGGACCAATTGACAAAGGAGATCATTTGTCTCTATTCGTATATGTATATCAATAGAAAAAAAAGAGATCTATAAATGCTTTACATATTTGTATGCTAGACACAAATATAATATAATCACTAGAAAATGAGACTCAAAGTATTCGTTACATTTCTCGTATGTTTGCACGATGAAGTTTTATGTATTTTACATATGTATATATATATATATATATTATATTTGTAACATACCGTACTTTGTCTTGAAAGAGTAGATGATGTCTTAAGTACATTAGAATTGCTGTTATGCCTTGAACGATTTCCCGATGATAATATTTGACTAGGTTGAGGACTCATTGGTGAACGAATAGGAAACATAAGATAAGGTTGTGTTTGATCATGAACATGACAACAGACTGTTGTAGGATTTATTAAACCAACAGAATCATTATTAGTTGTTGCATTTGTAATTGATTCATGTGATGGAAATCGCATCATTTTTCTAGTTGCTATTGTCGTACTATTATCTACTGATTGTACTTGTTGTTGTTGAGGTGAAGATAATAGACTAAGTATATTATTAATTTTAATATAATTTGACGCAAGTAAAGGACTTCGTTCTCCACCACCTGTTACTGAATTCATAGTTTGTAATTGTTCAAGAAAATTATCATTAATAAATGTTGAATCAGAACATTGTGTATGTCCAGCTAATACAAGATCATAAATTCCTTGTGTATGTAATTCATATTGATTGTATGGTGTAAGAATTGAAGCTGATTGAAGTTGATCAATAATTGATTTAACAAGAGTTAATTTTCGTACAGCACGTCGAAATCGACGAAGTACAATTTCACGTCGACGTTTACGTCGTTGACTTTCACTATTACCTGTTGTTATTGAACGTGATGCTGTCAATAATGCTGCTGAAGCATTTTTAAAATGAAGTGCTGCAAATAATGCTGGACCAAGAGAAAGATGATATGGACCAAGAAATAAATGTAGTGTATCATCACGAACATCAAGTGCTGGTAAAACTGTATATATACGTGAAAGACGATCGATTGTACTTGATAAATGATTCACTTTAAATAATTCTTTGAAAATAAATTAAAAAAAAACAAAAAAGATATTTTTCGTGTGTTTGTTTTTTTTGATTCAATAAATAAATTAATGATACCTAATTCAATAATTGCTTTCATATCAGGAAATAAATTCGTTAATTTTTCTAATTTACACGCATCTGTATCTGATTCATTGTTAAAAAATCTATATGGTACTTGTCGATAATATTCTTTATCCATTGATGTAGGTACTGATGTTGATTGTGCTGCGTCAAAGTTGATCTAAATATTTACATATTTACGAATAAATTTAAATGAAAAACAATTAAATTATTTTTTTCTTAAATAAATCTACATCATTATTGTCGTTGCTGCCAAAACTATTAAGGTTGCTGCTGCTACTGCTACTATTGCTACTGGTTCGACGTTTCATAATGTTGAAATGTGATTTGGAGACTTTACACATACATACACACGTATGTGCGTAAAAAAAAGGAACAAATAAGAACGAAGAAGAGAACTGAGGAAAAAAAAATTTGTATACCTATTTATGAATACATATATATATTTGATTTAAAGACACCTGCAAGGCTATAGTAATAGAAACAGGAGCAACAATCGAAAGTAGAAATTGACACTATACTATCCAACGAATCACTCATATAATAAAAAAATCGAAGCAAGTATTACCTTAACAATAGTCGAGTAACTCGACAATAATAACCATTCTCCAGCACAAGGAGACAAAAGAAAAAAAAGAAGTAGATAGTAGGTGTTACAATGATGTTACGTAGTTATAGACACGTCCAGTCAGAAGAACGTGCTGTTTTTTTTTTTATTCTTCTATGTACATTCCGTGAATGAATCATCCTATCATTCCTTTTATTCCTTTTGAATGCACTATGTAGATATACTTGTATTTTTCATACGTACAGTACTATGTTTTCGTTAAAATAACAATAGTATATACAATATTCTTTGTAGCAAAACTATAAAATTCCACAAACATAAAACTACTCTTACCATAACAACAGTTTTTCATTGATTTTATTTAATATAACTAACGTATCAGAGATAGATTGCAGACAATATACGTCAATATTTTTCCATATGTATACAATTCCTTCTTTTTTTTTTCTTCGTCTTCATTATACGAATTGATAAAAGGTGCGAATGTATATTTCTCCTACACATATGTGTATAAAATTTTTGCTACTATTCGTTATTTTATTACTTATTCCTATGCATCGAGATAATGTGTGCAAGTGAATAGTTGTCTCAAATAGTTGCTTACTTTGTTATTTTTTCTATTTCTATCGTCATCTGTATTTTTACTGTACAGTATGTTAGTTTGTTTGAAGAACATTAATAACAAATCACAAGAGCGGAAGAAAGGACATCGAGAAAAAAACGCAAACGAAATAATAAAAAAAAAAAACCTATGAATAAAATATCTTCGCAAAAGAAGAATAATAAAGAATGTTTGTCGTATTCTCCTGTCTCCGTCTTTATTCTAAAATAAAGATTAGTAGAAAAAAAAAGAAATATATTGTTTACCATTGGAGATGTTTGTTGTCCGTTGAATAACCACATTATCAGATATTCAATATGAATCGTCTAACTAAATATTGCATTTATTAAATGTATTGCGACTTTTCAATAAGTGATTCTTTCGAATGGGAGAACGGCCAGCAGGAGCAAAAAACGACTTTCTCTTCCTTTTTCGCTTATCGCTTATCAATGCCGTAATACATAAAACGACTTTAGAATCCTGCTAAGGAGAGACAGCAATGATATTTGCTCTTACTATTTTCATTTATCGCTGAATTCGATAAGCAAACTTTCTTATTTTTCTTTTTCAACATTATCAAATTTATATATGAAATATATAAGATCTTGAATACTGAAGAAAATGACATACGCAAATACATAAAAAAGAATAAAGAAATCTTACATTTTTTCTTTCTTGAACGTCCATCATTGTTTTTATGTAATCAATAGGTATCTGTATGCTCGACTATTTTTCCTTGCCGTTACGTATATTCTCTTTATTATTTATGACTGTGACTGCCATGGTTGATACTACTACTGCTCGTCATTATTTTCTGTTCTCTCAGATGTTATCAGCACACTCTACTCTACGAGCATCGTTTCTCCTTTTAGCTTCACCTCTCGGTCAGACTAACTAAGAATATGTTGATATATGCATGTATATGTATAAATGGAAAAAAACAGAACATAGTAAGACAACAGTAGCCACCATAAAGTTTAGATCAATATCCTCAAGAATAGAAAAATGGCACCAGAAATAATAATTTTCTATGTAAAGGGATAAACATTTTTTAACAATAATTGATATTTTCAATATCAAATACAAAAAAAGAAACAAATTTTAATCGATAGGTCTTCATTACAAAAATTTTCTTCAAAGACTAGACCTTATCATTTAATCTACGTATAAACTCTTTTATAAAAATTAAGCGTAAGAGATACATATGCGTAACGATTATTAAAAAGAACTTAACTCTTTACAACTGTCTTGATTGTTTTTCCAGCTGACAAAAACAGATTCTGACACTTATTAGATATCTCTCATTTATTAACACTCTTAAACAGACGATGGGTAAATATGATTATATCAAATAACATAACTACATTCTACTCTTATCTTGTTTTTAGTCATTTTTCAACGAAGACAAATATCATGACATAAATTCTTTTTATTTTGACACTAACAATTTAGTAAGAATTTTGTAATGCAATCGAAATCATTTATAAATAAATTGTCCAAAAATTTGTAACATACTGTATCTTGAAAACAGATATCTTGAAAATATCAAGGTAAAAGAGCAACAAAAGACAATGTTTGTTTATTTAAGTTTGCTTTTTCTTATCTTAACTTTTTCTGAATGTCAGACGTAAATTGACCATACGAATAAGAATAAAATATCTTATTTACTTACGGTTGCTTTTTATTTGAGAATCTTTGATATTATCAAACATTAAGAGGACTACATCGTTCCTCCGCTTTTCCAACTTTGCACGAGGATGGGTCTTCAAAAAAATTTGAAATTTTCAGAATAGATAGATCTTGATGAGTAGAGTAAAAGGTGTTATAAACACAAAATTCTCAAATGCTTTTTTCTATGAGATATTGAGCTCGCTCGGCTCTCTCAATTCCAATACGTCTGATAGAATTGAATATTTTTTTTCACAGATGCTAGGCATTGTTGGAAGTGCCTCCTTTATTTTTTTTAATTTCTTTTTTCTTTCCTTCGATTCGAATAACAAGATTAAAATATTAAGCATAGCTTCAAAAATGCATTTTTTGTTTTGTAACCCTAGTCCAAACCAACGGTACATCATATTTTAATATAACAAAAACAAAGTAGGCACTCTAAATATTTTCTAGTATAAGTAGAAGACAGTTTCAGCTAGATCGGACGTACTGTGATCGAGAAATGCGGACAACTCTCAACTTTTTCAAAAAACAGTGAAATAATGTTTAAATTCTTTTCAGCAAAAATCTTCCATTTTTTTTTATTTTTCGACTTTTATAGGTATATATTAATTTTTCAAATATTTCCAGTACATAGCAGATAATTCGAAGTGTATATAAAGCAGAAAAAACATGTTATTGGTTGCAAAAGAGGAGAATGATTCCTGTAAGTTAATAGATATTTTGATATTTACAATAAAATCTTGTCATTAATACCAACAATAGATCTTTGTTTTATCCAATAAACAAATCTGATTTATATCAAAGTCTTTAAAATTCTATTCCAAGGAGTTTTAAAATGAGAAACAAACTAAAAGAGTCAAATATCCAAATGAATAATATATTTCTTTTGAAAATAAATTCTTAACAAAAAAGAAACTATTATGACTGTTTTATTTCATCAGCATCAGCTATTTCAGCAAGAACATCACCATGACATGCTTCTGGTTTACACCAACATGCAATTCTTTGACCACGAAGTTCATTTTTAGCTCGAGCTAATAAATCCGGTTGACGCATTATCCAACTGCGATATTTTCTAATGACATCTGCTCGATCACCATCTTTACCGATAACAAATGGATTACCCCAATCTGAAGGTCGACCTATATAAACATCATAATTTGATTTTTTACAATGTACTACCTGTGTCCTTGATCTATTTGTTGTTTGAGGGACAACACTGCTGGTAACATTAGCAGCTGCATTTGTATTAGTAGTAGTATTAGTAGAAGAAAAAGAAGAAGAAGAAGGAGTAGAAGAATTTTTTGTTTCAGCTGGTGCAATTCGAAGTTCTCGTCCATCTAATTGACAATTTTGAAGTTGAAGTGCATCATTAAATGCTTCAATTGTATTAAAATATACAAAACCAAAACCACGACTTTGACGTGTATTATTATCATAAATAATACGGACTCGTTTGACATTACCACAGTTGTCATTAAAAAATCTTTTTAAATCTTCTTCAATTGTATTAAATGAAAGATTTCCAACATATATAGATAATGATTGATTCATTGAAGTATTCATATTCTGTTGAGCGATTTGTCTTGTAGTAGAATTAGATGATGTTGCCATCTGATATTGAATAATTTGTTGCTTAGAAAAACACAGTACTTTTTAAACCAATAAATAGTAATGATTGTGTAATAACTACAGCGCTATGCGTTTAATAGATGTCAACAGTGATTCATCAATAAATCATACTACATATATTGCACAGTCTCTTATGAGTATTGCGAAATATTCAAGGAGCATGCAATATTTTCTTTGTTCTGTCGATAATTGTCAATGTACTTTACGTTACATTTCATCATACATGTGCTCTTTAAATATTGTTAAAAGTACACAAAGAAAAATCAGTATTATGAATATGTTATAAAGATCAATTACATGACAGAATAGAAATGAATCAGAATATTAATGAGTGACACAGATTAAATGGGACAATATAATTTCCTTTTTTTTCTGGATCATTCTGATACATTTTCAGCAAGTTACATGGTAGACAATTGTTTGTTCTATGTAACTATTTTGTTTGGTTTTTAAATAAATTTTTCTTCTAGAAGCAAAATTTAAAATATGAGCACTTGTTCAATCATCCAACTGTGATTTTCTACAGTAAGTCTTTGTTCATGAAGATCAATCCAAAAAGTAATACAGTTAACATCAATGGATAGAGAATTTTGTGCTTGCCGCTTGTGTGAACTTTTTTTCAATGTTTCTAGTACTATCGTTCATGAGAATAAAACCTACTGATATTCTTTTTTACGCATGTCGAAAAAAAATATATTTTTCAAAGCAAGATGTTGTGTATGAAACAGTCTTTCTCGTACTGTCGAATATTGAGTAAAAATGTTGTGACTGCGAAGTTGAAGAGTACAAACAATTAGGTTCTATCAAAATAAAAAAGAAACAACGACATAATTCTGTAA